ACTTCCAGCCGTCTCTCCCTTGGCCAAACCCTGAGACCCTGCAGGCCAGCTAACTCCTCCTCCCTTCCAGGAGATCCACTGGTTCCTGGAGGAGGCCTAGGCCCCTCCCCAGAGGCGGAGGACGACCCTGGCGAGGCCTTTGAGTTTGAGGACAGTGATGATGAGGACACCAGCGCTGGCCTGGGTATCCTAGGCGTTGCTCCAGAGAAGGACGCAGACGCCCCACTGATCCAGTTGGACTCTGCCCCCGTCACTGGTAAGGCATTCTGGGAGCCTTGGGTCCTCCCGTCTCCAGGCCTCTGGGCAGGGGTGGAAGCTCCGGGCTCCCAGTGATGCTCGTGGTCCTTCTGCTGTCCCCAGAAAGCAGGAAGGGAAGAGCCACTGGGAAGAAGCTGCGTTCCACCGCCTCCCTTGGGAACCAGGATTCCTAGCATTCCTGCAGCATCTGGTGTGCTTTGGCACATAGTAAATGGAAGTGGCTGGCCCGCCTTGTCTCTCTGAAGCTGCCCCCCACCCCACACACACACAGCTTCCCCCAGGGAATCACATCAGCCATGGGAGGTTCCCCCCTCCAGTTGGGATTGGGGAGCTGGTGGCTCTGGGGGCGGGAAGGCCCTGATAAGGCTGGTGTTAAATGGCAGCTTCTGATTCTGTCATCTGGGAGAGACTGGAGACCGGACTAGCAGGAACTTCCTGCAGGCTTGGGGACAAGGGACTCCTTGAGGAGCTGGGGGTGGGGGGCAGGCCCAGAGCAGGCGGGGCAGCTGGCTCTGGTTGGAGTTGGGAAGTGGGCCATGGGGGCAAGGGTGGGGGCGGTGCAGGCAGGACAGGTAGGGGAGCTTGATGACAGTGAAGTGGCTGGGGGAAGGGAGGCAGGCACAGCAGGCACCCAGACTGGCCTGGCCCTGTCTCCAGCACCCCTGGGGAGGCTGGGAAAGGGGGCGGGGATGGACTGAGTCCATCAGGCCAGCCTCTGGCCTGACAGGCTCTCCCTCTGCTCTTCTCCCGCAGACCCAGACCCAGCGGCCACACTGCCCCAGACACAGTAAGTGAACCTCCTTCCTTTTTTTTGTTGGGGTGGAGGGGGGGGGGCAGGTGGCTGGGAAAAGAGAAACTGGGCAGGAGCTATGCGAAAGGGCAGAGCTGAGGCCAGGAGGGCTCCGGACACGGCTTTGGCTAAGGAGGAACACATTTTAAGATCCCTGGGCCTGAAGGAAGAGGCCAGTCCCTAAACCTCATGTTACTTCTTCCCTTCTTTTGCCCACAAGCCTGTGAAATAGCAGAGGGCAGATCTGGCTCCAAACCCTGGATATGCCCCTTGCTAGCTTTGTGGCTTGAGGGAGTCCTATAGACTCTCCAAATGTCAGTCTGTTCATATGCAAAACGGAAACAGTCAAGTCCCCACCCCACTGGGTCGTGGCTGAGAATTAACCGGCTGTCTGGTGGTCAGTGCCCTGTAGCTGTGCCTGGCCCATTGTCTGCGCCATTGCAATTTGTGTTGCCAATACCATTCCCACCCCCATTCCCATTCCCGTGACTGTTGTCAGGGACTCTGCCTTCTCTACCTGGGAGCCTGTCGGAGGCAGGGCCGCCTAATGGTTACAAGCCCAGATGCTCGGGTGACTGCCTGCATCTGGCTGTGGCCCCAGCACTGGCCGTGGGTCCTTGTGTCAGTCACAGTCCTCCTGGCTTTGGTTTTCTCATCTGTAAAATGGGCCACTGCTTCCTCAGAAGAGTGAAGGACTGTTGGGTGAAGGACCCAGTGTCGCAGCAGGCACCTGATTGAGGCAGTTACTTTACCACTGTTCCCTTGGTGGTCTTTGGCAGGTTGGCTCTGGGTGGCATGGTGCATTTGGGGGTTGGGGTCATGAAAGCTGAGGCCCCCCCCCCCCGGAGCTTTACACGTTGCTGCTCACTGCCTGGAGGTGTTAGTGGTGGGTCTAGGCCCTGGGGTTTACAGCCTGGGGCAGCCACCCTGGCTGAAGGAGGGGCATTTGAGATGCCCTTTGTCCTCCTAGTGTGAGTCTGTGGAATGTCTAGTTCTCAGGCAGGTGTTGCTCAGCTGGAGGTCTCAGCAATGCAGATGTGGCCCTGGGCCCCTGGAGCTGAAGGCTATCCTGGATTCAAATCTCCTCCCAGGAATCTTTCTGCCCAGGAGTCCTTCTAAGTGCTCATTTGTTGTCTGGAGTAGGTGTGCCCTGGGAGGTTTCCTGCTGGGACGGCCACTGTGTAATTAAGGCCAGAAGTGGGGGCCAGCTTCTGCTCCCTGATTAGGGACCTGAAATGAATCAGCAATCCTGCACCTGGACCAGGAGAGTCCTGAGATGGCTGTCTCCCAGGATTAGAACCCTCCAGGGGGGCCGGGAATGAAGCCACTCAAAAAACCTCAGTCTGGTGCGGGATGGAGACACCTCACAGTGGGACAGACAAGGGTGCCCAGAGACCTGGGGCACTGGCCAGAGGGAAGCCAGGAGGGGGTGTTGGCTGAACAAGTGAGCATAAATTCACTGGGGGGAGGGGTGGGAGGAAGCCACTGAGCAGATACAGTGGGCAGTGAGCCAGGGCACCCCCACCCAGGGCCTGGGGCTCTAGGCCCTTTCAGGCCACCCTCCCAGGGACCCCCATTTCTGACCATGGGGTCAGGAGCATGGCGGCCTGGCCTGTGCCTGCCCGCCTTCTCTCTGTGTGTTCTGGAGACCCGATGACTCTACAGCCAGGTCATGTGTCTGGCTGGTTCCAGGTGCCACGCTGAGACTGTGACCCAGTGGTCCCCAGAGATGGTGCCCACTGCGTTGTTTTCATCAGCCTCACTGGTCAGGGCAGCTCAGGGTGGGCCAGGCGTTTCTGGGAGATGGGCCCAGCCCTCCCTTAGTCCTCTGCCTGCCACTCTGCAGCACCACCCCTGTCCTACCACTCACCCTTTTGCAACCCCAGCTCCACTGAACACCATCTCCTGGAGGCAGCAGGGCGAGAGTTCTGGAGGTTCAAATCCACACCCAGCCCCTCACTAGCTGGGTGGCTTTGGGGCTGCTTGTGAACCTCTCTGAGCCCCGGTTTTGCCATGTATGGAAATAATATCCACCTGGAAGCATCCTGAGGAATGAGAGACTGATTGTGGGATGCGCTACATACACATATTGTGTTTGCTTCCTCTCCCGCCTCCTGTCCAGTTTGGATGTTCC